GTTTTACTTACATCAAAATATAATAGAAGTTTCAAAAATTATATCTTCTGCATAGTTTTACTCTTTGCATGAAAGAGTTCACATTTTTTGTATGTCTCCATTGAAACAACTAAAGGCTGCGTAGAGATCATTTTTATTGCTTATGTTGCCACTTCAGAAAAGTTGTGCAGTTTCTCTTAGCATTATCTCTTGTTATTCTTGAAATGTTGCTTTCATATCTCAAAATTTGTCCCACATTAGCAATATATATTTCTATAATATATATAGTCTACCCAGTCTTTGGAATCCAGATGCACCAGCCCATGTATACATTATGAAACCACAATTCCAAGCAGACCCCATAGATTTGTTGTTGGTTTAATTGGCATCACTCTGATATTCACATTTTGAAAAAGAGTATCTTCAGCTAGATACATTCATCCATATATAAGCAGTAGACATTTCCCACCATCTACTTTGACTGAACATGCACGTCCTGAAACTTTATCTCAACAAAATGATACAATATCATATACATGCACATCTAACAGGAAATTTTGAGATGATGTTTAGAAAAACTACATAAATCAGAAATACCTTAAATAAACTTGAGTGTTCTGTAGGAATGGAGTTGAGATTAGGTCATGGAGATAAAAAGTAGAGAAGAGCAAATTAGCACCAATAATTAATTTAGAAATTCACTTACAAATTAAATATTCCTGAGGTTTAGTATTACTGTATTAGTCAAATCAGTTAAGAATAACCATACAGCCCTAACCGGTTTGGCTCAGTGGATAGAGCGTCGGCCTGAGGACTGAAAGGTCCCAGGTTCAATTCCGGTCAAGGGCATGTACCTTGGTTGTGGGCACATCCCCAGTAGGGAGTGTGCAGGAGGCAGCTGGTTGATGTTTGTCTCTCATCGATGTTTCTAACTCTCTATCCCTCTCCCTTCCTCTCTGTAAAAAATCAATAAAATATATTTAAAAAAAGAATAACCATACAAAGTTAATGAAAACTATTCATTAATTTGTTAGATATCTACTTTACCTTAAAGTAGATATTGAACAAGGCAGAATTTTACTGTCTTCACAGTATTAAATTACATTTATAACATTTAAATTACTCTTTATTTCTCTACACTCTTTCTTTGAATTATTCTTGAGCTAGTTCACAAATACCCTGATTTTTCAAAATTCTCTAATGAACAAGGAAAGACATTCTTCCTCTTGACTTGCATTGCTTTGTTACCTTCATTACCACAAATGTAATAAAGTTGCATTTCATCACAAAAAAGTAAAATATTTGCTCCTTTATTTAAGGACGTTAATGTAGAATATATTTTTTGTGCAAGAAAACCTATTACAAATATATTTTTGGACTTCCTCAATCACTGAAAAAGAAAAGCTTAAACATTCCTCTATATATTTGTTCTATTAAGGGATTCATTCTGCCCTAAATTCTCAGAGAGGTGACTTAAAAAAAGAGTTGTTTGTCATTCAGTTTAAATTAGCTTAAAGTTACTTTTTAAATGCCCCAAATGTTAATTTAAAAAGCCCTTGATTTCTCAAAAGCATAATTTACCCTTTTGAAAGTTTGAATTCAATCTCAAAAAGATGTAAAATTATTTATCCTATATAATAGAAGGTTTATTTTTTATTCAAAAGTTACCAACATCTGGTGTTTCACTTACTATTAGTTGTAAAACAAAGAAACTAATTTACTCTGATGATCGAGACTCATGGAATACAGTATCAACACTCAACCTTTTTCTTGTACTCTCTCTCTCAAGATTTAGTGAGAACTCTGGTACCTTTTTATGCCAAGTGGGAGAACTTTTAAAATTGATTGGCTTATGAGGGTGAAAGTACTTGGAGTACTTGGCGTTCATTTTTAAAATTCCATAGGAAATCGATTCTCAATATTTGTACGTTTAAGTTAGCAGGCCTTTCTCTTAGATTTCCAGTGGTAACTAGATTACTTCAAGCTATTAACCATGATCCCCTGGAGTCAAATGAGATACATTAATTCTCTTGAGGCTCCAAGGAACCATTTGTAAATAAACCCTGATATATGTGATTCATTTCACATGCACAAGTATCAGGGATTACTGTGATCACTTGGTTCAATGTAGGATCAAAATCTTGTGGAGTAGTCTTGATCTTGAAGCAACATCCCATTAGTTTATTTTTAAAAGTTACTCTACAAATAGATTTTTATTGATGTAAATTGTTAGAAGCTGTGTCTAAAACAGGCCCATTAATCAAGTGTTTAATGAAATAAAAAGAATATGAAAAATGTGAAAGCATTGATAATACTTTAACAGTATAAGCATGAGTCTATGTCACCAGTAACACTATGTTAGATGCAACAATTTGTGTACCCATTCACTTTTCAATTACTTCTTCATAGGATGAGATTTAATAAAAATGGCTTGTTCTTTAATAACTCATTTCTCATCAAATACTGAGAAGAGAATTGGAAAACAAGCAAATGGAAAGATATGGTCGCTAGATTATTAATTCATTTACTCAACAAGTAATCATAGAATGCTAACTATATTCCAGATATTGTCATGGTGCTGGGGACATTTGTATCATCTATATGCAGTCATTTGTTAATACATTTCTAACTATTCCCTTCAATTAGGCCATTTATTTATAGGTAAGATGGTACTCACTCCATTCCTAAATATTCCTTTAAAAATAAGTATTCTTACTTTTTCTCACTGGGCTAAAAATATCCCTTACACATGTGACATTTTTCTCCCCTTAATCATAAATAGAATCTGAAAGGCACCAGTATTATGATACTCCCTGGACAGAAAAACCTCCCCTAAATAACATTTAATATGATGGCTTTAATAAGAAAGCAATGTTTTTAATTTTCTTCTCCGTGGGCACATTTGAAATTTGTATAAGTGATTGTTTTCAAAAGAAAAAAAAGTAAAATAAAAAAAGGATGATAAACAAAAAGCAAACAAACAATAAAAAACAACCTTGTATTGAATAGTCCATTCTTACGTTGATCATTGATAGTATAGTTTTACTAATTTTTACTAATTACTTTGTCTGGGAAATGAACAATAACCTACTTTTAATGCTTTGTCATTGACTTAAGCTTTTCAGTAGTTTGCTCCCCTCTAGAAGCCTTAATTATTAGGATTACATTAAATGTAGCTAAAAATAAAAATTACAAGTTTGAAAAGCTTCCCAGGTGTTTCTGCTCAAATAGAGATTGTCTTTCCTTTATATTTCTCCCCTCTTTTCACCAACTGAATTTACAGAGTTCTTTTGATTGTCTACAGCAGTGGTTCTCAACCTTGGCTGCACATTAGAATCACCTGGGAATCTTTTTAAAATCCTGATTTCTGGGCCTCATCCTCCGGAAATCCTGTTACTTTGTTACTAATGTTGTGGCCTCACCCCATAACAAAGAAACAGAATTTCCGGAGGATGAGGCCCAGAAATCAGGATTTTAAAAAGATTCCCAGGTGATTCTAATTGTGCAGCCAAGGTTGAGAACCACTGGTCTACAGGGTCCTAACATGAATATTTTATCTGTAACTAAGTATGTTTTAATTACTCCTTTTCTTTATACTGGCTAACTTTTAGAAAATAGCAATAATTTGAATATTAATTTCCCAAAATGTATTAAATGCTAATACTTGAAGATTTTTTACTTTCTAGAAATTTTAGTGATTTATATTGAATCAAAATATTTATAAATGTTTTAGATTAACAATAAGACTTCAGGTCTATAAATTGAAATAAAAACTGGTAATGGGGAAAGAGGAATAGAGAGTACATATGGTAAGTCATCACCACTGTAAATATTTTAAATTATATTTGGAGTTGCATCATTTTCATAAATTCTGATTACAATTATATAGAGCAACTAGGCTCATAAACTATGAAAAATTATATACCATTATTTTAGTTTCTTTTTGTCAATTTAAATGAAGACTATACTTGAATGTTTTTCAAAATTATGATACATATATCAATATGATGTGCATTTTTATTTTTCTAGATTTAAGCTTTTACATGCTATTGATATTTTTTCAAGCTCATGTAACTCAAAAATATTTTTAAGCAAGGATGGTCTTCACAGCATTGTTTACAAATGTAGAATACATTGAAAAGCATATGAATTATATTCAATAATGAACTACTTAGATAAGTTTTAGTACATCCACATAATGGAATACTAAGCAGTAACTAAAATGATGATACAGATCAATATTTATTAACATGAAAAGATAATTATGCTTAAAAATTTAACAAAGCGTGTAACGGTACATGTAATATGTTTTCTTTTTTGCTTATAACACAGTGTATGTATAAATAGGAAAAAAAGACATGGCAGGAAATGCACATACTGAAAATATTAATAGTGGTCACCTCTGAACTATGGGAATTTTACTTCTTTATAAATTTTTGCATTGTGTACATTATTTTACAATTAGCATGTATTATGTTTACAATTTTAAAAAGTGATTTCCACTTGAAAATATTTGATAATGAATATATATAATTTATAGATAATTATATAGAAACAGCTTATCCTCATTATTTTGTGGGCAAATTGCTAACAAAAGTGTTAATAAATTATATATTTATATTGAATTATGTATGAAAACAAAGGTTTTTATGCAGAGAAATAAAAAACGACTGAGAATAGAAACAAAACATCTTATGGCTGGATCTGTGGTATGAATGAATCATATTTTTAAAAGTTATTATTTAACATTTACATAAATTAGGTATTTATTTATATACTTTCAAAATGGATTTCAACTAGCATATATTAAGAGAAAGGAAGTTCAAAGAAAATAGAAAAGTAAGTGTAATATGGATGGAAGGTAGATGGATGGGAAGAAGAGGGAATAGCTAGTGAAATGCAGAAAATGTATAACCTAGAAATTACAGGATAAATACTGTAACTGTAACAAAGAATAGAACATTCTGTAACAACTTTCAAGCAACAAGACCGAAAGAGAAACATAGTGCATAGCTCTCATATGATAGATGAAGGCATATGATTTAATCAGGAGTAACAACTTTTTCCTTCATTTGAAACATCTGTGAATATTTTCACATGGATATATTAAATAATTACAAGAGAATGACAAGTTTAATACATGTTTTTCAAAGTAGTTTTTCAATATCATTATACGGATTATTTACCTTTTATATTGACAATAAGAGATGAAGTTAAAATCTTAAACTTATCTAAAGGCAATTCAATGCAGTTATTCATCTTTCTTGTTAATTTAACATTATTCAAGTATACATACAAAGGAATTTAGAAAAGTGAATAGCAAGAATGCTCTTTAGATTGTTGTCAAATTTCAAATTTTTCAGGAAAGGTTTTTAAGATGAAACTAATAATTTAAAAAATTAATGCCTAAAGTATTAATTTCCTAAGGTACTGATTGATAAAAACACCAATATGCTTATTTCTCTGAGTATGAAGTTAATAAAAAAAACTCCCAACACTTAGTCACAGTCACTATTCAGTTTGTGGTATGCCCAAAATATATTTTAAAATGAAAATAATATAAATAAAGGAAAGAAAAAAGCTCAAATCTTTTTCAAAGAATATTCATATTAATTAATAATTTAAAGTCAAATTATGCACAAATGATAACTGGACCACATACATTTCCCCCTGTGCTATTGATTTGTCAAAAAGCAAATTAGAAGTTTGTACTGTGATAGAATCAGAAGTACGGAGCATTTTGAGAATATTTTCATAGAAGAAATCAAATTTAGTAGTAGTATTGAAATAGGAAGAAAATATACTCAGTTACTTCACCTCGACTCATTTAGGAAAACAAATGTGTGGAGAAGTAAACTTTATTCTCCATAATCCTAAGAATATTACATCAAAAATTAGTACAAAATGACAGTTTTACAATTAGAAATTATGTTCTTCACTAAAATGAACAAGATTTTCTAGTCTCACTTTTTTTTAAAAAAAGAAAATACTCACTTAAAAAAAACCTGTGAATTGGCATAAAATAACCTTTTATCACAAAGTAGCCCAAACTAAGTAGGCACCAGCTTAAGGCTGAAACAAATTGAACATTCTTATTCTCACCACCTGCGCCTGGCTTGGCCCAGGGTCACATGCAGCGGTTTGGAGCCCACCATGCGACCATTCATCTCACCCACTGCTTTGGTAGCCTCTTCAAAAGAGGAGAAACAGACTACACCAAACCCTTTGCCTTGCCCCACTTCCACCATCACTTTGGCTCGGCTAATTGATCCAAAGGAAGAAAATTCCTCCCTTAGTTTTTCATCATCGATGGTCTCATCCAAGTTCTTAATATAGACAGGCACCCCCGGAGGCCGACTTTTTTCTTTGACTTTCAGCCTTTCAAATCTTCGCCTTAATTCAGCCAGACGTTCAATTTTCTTCTGTGCTCGCCCTACATATAGGGCTTTCCCATCGATGGACTTTCCGTGCAGGTCTAGCACAGCCTTCTGAGCAGCCTCGTGTGTCTCATATCTTACAAATCCAAAGCCTTTAGATTTCCCACTGGCATCTCTTATTACCTTAACACTCTCGGTTGGCCCATATTCACTGAAAATTTCCTTCAGTTTTTCATCATCTACTTCATCGCCAAAGTTTTTAACGAAAACATTGGTGAAAGTTGCTCTATCCCTGGTCCTAACTTCAGCTGCCCGCTCTTCTGGAAATTTGAATCGGCCAACATACACCTGGCGGTTGTTGAGCCGCACACCATTCATGTGCCAGATGGCTCTATTGGCAGCTGCCAGGCTGTCAAAGTGCACATAGGCATAACCCTTAGAGCCGTTGTCATCGCATACAACTTTGCAAGAGAGAATGTTCCCAAAAGCAGAAAACAAATAAAAAAGAGCCCTGTTGTCTATGGATTTGTCCAGGTTTTTGATGAATATATTTCCAACTCCAGACTTTCTTAAGCGGTCGTCTGGCTGAGACCACATGAGGCGGAATGGTTTGCCATTAATCAGATCAAAATTCATGGTGTTCAGGGCCCACTCAGCATCTGCAGGAAAGCGGAAGTTAACATAGCCATAGCCCAGAGGGCTGCGGGTCTCTGGGTCACGGCAGATTCTGGTGAAGCGCAGAGGGCCAGCAGGCCTGAACTTTTTATAAAGCATGTCCTCGGTGACATCTGGGTCCAAGTCACCCACATACAGGGCAGCCTTGAGGTACTTCTTTTTCTTGCCAGCAGGATTAGGCTCCCCACTCCCCATCTCTCTGAGCACAGGGAGGAGGCTCTCTTAGGAGAGAAAAGTCTGCTTTCTCTAAGCTATGGGCCAAGCAGCTGTTCACGAACAGAAAAAGCCAAGGCGAAGGAAGCTAAAAGCAGACTCAGTAACACTGTTGAGGCTGAGAAAATGAAGTTCAGAAACACCTGGTCAGCGGGCTCAGAACAAACGCATCAGACAAAAAGGCATCCCAGTAAGGAGTCTGTTCTACCTAAGGGACATACAGTTTCCACCCTTTCAGATTTAAAATCAGTTTCAAAAGCCAGCGGTAGGAAAAGATTTCCCTTTCCCTGTTAAATTATAAGAAATCATCAAGCAGCTGGGTGGCTCCCCACATCTAGCATTGCAGATCCAGGCCTCGCAACCTGTTTTCTGCATAAATATAGGCCTCGAGCTCCTGTTGGCTTAAAATTACATCAACAAGAGCAGGGGCCGAATGTGTATTCCTCCGCCCGGGGGCTGCCTGGCCAGTCTCAGGCAGGCTCGCAGCTAACTAAGGCCGCTACACACACTCAGCGTCAGCGAAAGGGCAGACTGGGTACTTGGTGCTCTGGGCCGGCCGGCAGGCTGCAGGCGGCGGATCAGACAGAAAGACAGACAGACAGACACGCGCGGAGGACCGGGACCGCCCAGATACCCAAGATGCCCACTGGGTACGGACCGAGTGACGCGCGGTGGTTTCGGCAGTCTGAGACTTGCGGCAGGTCCGGAGGGACTGACTGGCAGAAGCGCACTGGGTCAGCTCAGACGCAAGGCGGTTCCGGACAGATGTGGGGCGGAGTCAGAAGAGAAGGGCAGATGCGTGGCGGGCGGGCAGAGCACGGACCCATGGACAGAGATTGCTTTCTCAGGACAGACCGACCCAGGGACTAAAAGCCTGTAGCTGTGGTTGGGCGGGGCTCGAGAAAACCCGGAACCCTGCTAAGTAACTTCCCACTTCTCTGTGTTAACATTGTAAAGAAAGAGAAAAAGAAAAGAAGAAATTAAAATGGTTTTTGGATTTCTTATTTTTGGAATTTCATATATTTATTATTTTAAAATATTATATTTAGGCTGCTAATCCAAAAATCAGAGGAGGTGATGACGTAAGTGGAAAGAACTATAATAATTTAAAAAAAAAAAAAAACGAATTCCCTAAATTATTTCTGTTTAGGAAATAGGATATAGGTTGCATACTTTTCCTAAGTGCATTGGGAAGTCAGGATTGACAGCTGTACTGGCCACCCGTCCAGTGCTAAATGATCACAGAGTCGAATAAAACACAGGGCCATGTTGTGTTTGGCCTTTATCCTTACTCCATTAAACTCCAGCATAATGGTAGCATTATCCCCAGGTAGTAGGCAGTGTTCTTTTCACTGCTCCAGCAATACAAAGGTTTTAATTATTGGAAAGCCATAAAATGGCTTTAATGGTACTTAGTGCCAAAAAATGTTAAAGATATGCTGCTTCCATAAGCACAAATTATAAAATCTTAGTTAGAGATAAAAAGCTGCAGAATCAATATGAAATATATAATTAATGTTCACAGATGAAGCAAACACATAAAAATATAGGCACATTACATAATTAATTACTAATTTCAACATGAGTTGTCAACTTTAAGCCATTGCAGGGAATAATGCTGTAAGATAGGAATCAACTCAGAGGTTTCCCAAGATCTTTTTAGAGTGTCTGAGAAACTGTTTTGGAGAGGAATGTTGCCATGTTTTGGGAAAATCGCAATGTCTATAACACACAACTCATGCAGCCCATTCACATATGTAAGTACTATTAGGCTAGAAAAGATTCTGGGGTGCGGTGGGGGAAGAATGCAAGAGAAGGACATCACCCAAAAGGGCATGGTCTTAAGAAGAAATTCTTAGAATAACAGGCTAAATTCATGTGCTGCTTCATTTTATATATTTTAGATTTTCTGTTAGACTCTATTATTAACTGAAGATGATAATTTACTCTCATTATTTACTCAAATATTTAGTGTTTTTCTTAATTGAGCTCTTTTTTTAATCCTCCCCTGAGGATATGTTTTTATTGATTTGAGAGAGAGGGAGGGAGGGAGAGAGAGAGAGAGAGAGAGAGAGAGAGAGAGAGAGAAACATATGTGAGGGAGAAACATCAATTGGTTGCCTCCTGTAGGCACCCGGAACCCAAAACCTAGGTATGTGCCCTGACAGGAAATCCAACCGACCACCTACCGGTGCTTGGGAGAACAGTCCAACCAACTGAGCAACCCAGCCAGTGCAAATTTAGCTCTTTTAATTGGGTTCTTGCTTACCTAGGCCATGGAAAATATTTGAGAAAAGGCAAATACAAACAAAATATTATGAAGATAGACTGATAAAAACTAGTCTTACAATATGACCACAATGACATATAGAAACACTTGCGAATCTCTGCTTATTGTATTTTGAACATAATTTTATAAATATCTTTCCTGATAAGCTGAATTAAAACTAGACTTTTAAATTAGCTTTTGAGCATTTTTATTTTTCTCATTTAAAAATCCTACTTTACTGAAAATGCTATATTATAAAACAACACAAATACAATAGAATAATTCCCACAGTATTCTTACTGAACCAAATATAAATGTTCATATTCTAATTTGTACAATTTTCTCTAAGATTATAAATAGAATTGGGTTATTAAAAGTAATTATTTTCAAAACAACCTCCTCTCTACACTTAGCAGTCTTTTGAGGGTCATTGTAGTATAACACTTTAAACTATAGTGAACTTTTTATTATATCAAATATAAAAAATAGACCTGCTTTGAAATTAATTTTAGTAGTATTCCTTCTGCTAAGCAGAAATTTGTGGGAAAAAGTAAAGCATTTTCACCTGTAATTTGTTTAATCATGTTAATATTAAGATTGAGAAGAATCTCTGGAATAAATTCAGGTATAGAATATTTCTCTTGTCACTTTTATTACATATTAAAGGCAACTTTATAGTCTATGTAACATATTAAATACATTAAAATTCCCCACCCAGCCCACCCGGCGTGGCTTGTTGGTTGAACGTCAACCTATGAACCAGGAGGTCAAGGTTCGATTCCTGGTCAGGGCACAAGCCCAGGTTGTAGGCCCAATCCCCAGTGGGGGGTGTGCAGGAGGCAGCCAATCAATGATTCTCTCTCATCATCGATGTTTCTAGCTCTCTCTCCCAGGAGGAAGGGAGAGGGAGAGGGAGAGAGAGCTAGAAACATCAATGATTCCTGAGTCAGTTGGTTGAAGCATATCTAAGTCTTTCTAAATCTAAGAAATATTTTCCATGAGGAAAGAACCAAGGACAGCTGGCATTCTAAGTGCATCCCATCAAACATTGTTATTTACAGTTGATAGTAATGTATCAGCTTTAGTGGAAGCAGAGGAGAGTTGTGAACTTATTTTTCAGCTTGTCTTAACAGGCACTTAATCCTGTGGTTCCAATTAAGTGTCTCAGCTGTACAAGTTGCTGGGACTTCACAATGAAAGCAAATTTGCTACTCTCTTGAATGAAGTCTGGGATGGTGGAACAAAATATTATAAACACTTTTTTACCTATAACTTGACTCATATATTTTTAGACAAAGAGAGGAAAATTGCAAGAAAACAATTTGACATTATGAATATAGTATAACCAGGCATTTCTACTGTAATATTTGGAGACATTAGCAATTCTTTTCCTCTAGTTCCAAAAATTTTATCTTGAGCCATGAGCATTTAATGCTCTGGATGATCATCCTAAAGGTACTGTGTAATTAATTATCAAAGAAATATTAAATTGTGTTTATTAGAATATACTTGTAAAGTGAGAAGGTAATGAAAACTGGAAAAGTTTCAACAGAGTTTACAATGGAATGGGACTAATGCTAAATTATTAATAAACCAAAAAAACTTATTCTTCAATATTTAACCCAAATTTCAGTATTGTTATTTTTTGATTTTTTAAAGAGTAAAAAATATTTTATTTTAATTTTGGGGGTGAGGTAGTATAGGTGCTTTATTTGTTCAAGTCTATAGCTGTAATCCATACATTTACATTCCTACAGGATTTGTTGGAAATTAAGAAAAGAAAAATACTTTTATAAAAACAGTTTAACATTTTTTTCATTTGTCTCATGTACTAAATCCATGTTGAATTAAAAAGGCACGCTTCCAACTGTGAATAAATCTGAGTGTTAAAAAAAATAAAGTAATATGACAACTTTATATATTCAGGTTTACTTAGGTGTCTCCTTAGGGTGCTCTTGAATTAGATCCTATTAGTTTATCATAAATCCATAGACTACTTATAGTCAATTAATTTGACCTGGAACAAAACAATTAAATAATTTTTTTAAAAATAAAAATTTTATGCCTTATTTTAATTTCAAATTTTTATTGTGGTAAGATATATATATATAATTGACCTTCTTAACGATTTTGAAGTGTACAATTCAGCACATTAAGTACATTTACATGTCGTGCAACCTACATCATTATTTATCTCTAGAACTCTTTTTATATTGCCAAACTGAAACCCTCTATCCATTAATATATGTATATTTTCAGATGACACTGAAAATATGTTAAGCCATTTATTTATTTTTGGGCTTTAAGGCTGCTTTTAGTTATCTTCACGACACACAATACTATCATAAGCATCTTAATTTACATAATTTTATATACAGGTTGTCCCCAAAATGTGTATACACTTTAAATGATTATAAAGTCAGTGTTTATTAACACTGAAAAGGAGTCAAAATTAAGTGAGTTAATATGCTAATGATATGCTAAGTGTTGAAATGTGTACACATTTTTAGGGGATACCTATATTATTGCTCTTATTTCTATTAGCTAGATTCTCAGAAGTGGAGATTGAATACTTAAATAGTATGTGTATTGTTAAATGTTAATATATACAGGAGAATTATTTTGAAAATGCTTCAGCAATCTACTTATTTTACCAACATGAAAATTTAAAGGAAATGGATAATTACTAGCAAAATAGGAATTACCAAAATTGACTCAAAGGAAAAGTGGAAGAACAATTGCCATAAAACAGATTAAAAAGGAACTACCCCTATGCTATTAAAAAAAGACTGGTAATTTTTATAATTACATAATCTTTAAGAATATTCATGTAGGGCTAACACTATTCAAACTACTCTCAAACATAAAAGGCTTCCTAAGTCACATTTATAAAATTATCTCCAATAGATGTTGCGTCCAAAGGGCCTGCTCTGGCGCTACTTGTTACGGCCAAGCTCAGTCCCTGGTCGCAGAACTCAGTCCCTGGTCGGACGCCATATGTTTCGGCCAAAGGTAAACTGAGTGGGGGGGTGGTGGTGAAAGGATTAAGGAAAGACAGATAAGAGAATGAAAGCTGGGTCTCGGTGGGACGCTGCTCCCTGATGAGGAGACAGCACCCCATAAATAGAAAATTCTCATAAGCTAGGCTCACCTTTTCAAACAAGAATAAATGAATGGTCAGTCCATTTACTTATATAACACGGATATATACTAGTATGTTGACTCAGTTGTGTGTAATGTGGGTGTGGGAAAAGTCAGGAGCAGGAGCAAGGTTAAGTATTACATAATAAGGATTTAGAAGGGGGTATGTGATGGTAAGATAATTACAGACTTCTGGTTTACAATGTCAAAACAAATACTGTACAACATTTTCCAGATATTGATCATCACATCTTGCACTGTTTTCTTTCCTTCTGGACTGTGTGTGTTACATGCTTTTGAGTTGGCTCCAACTCCTGGTGACTCTATGAATGAGTAATGTCCACGATGTCCTGTTGCCAACAGCCCTGTAGACTCATGCCTAGGGCTTCTTTTATGGAATAAGTCCATCTCATATTTGGTCTTCCTCTTTCCTTGAGGCCTTATAGTTTACCCAGCATT